ACGTTTTCAGGAAAAAACAAAAGAGATTTCCCTTCTTTCCGGCCGTACTCGTTGCACGTATTTTCAGCGAAGAATAATAAATCGGCGCACCCCGCCGATATCGTGGCCGTTCGAAAACTCACGTAGCTACGTAATTTATGACTATTTTCCGCGACGCGTCCCTTCCCGCGACCTCCGAGGGGAAGGGGTTCTCAATAAAAATCAGGGCGGAAAAATATCTGTGTAAAACATCGACCAGTCGCGCATCGGGACGATACTCGGGTAGGGGTGGATCGTTTAGGAGAAATCTCGTAGCTTATCGGAGCATTCCTGATTCAGAGGAATCGAATCTTATCGTTCCATTCTATTCGTTCTGCTCTATCAGTATTATTACTTATATTCATTCCTAAATTAATTTTCTAGTAGAGCGCATCGATAGTGAAACGGAATACTAAACTGCTAATAATAAGCTCGATATTTACGACATTGGTCATCATTTTTACTTTCTTAAGAATGTATTCTAGGAAGCAATTATGACTCATATCGTGCTTCGAAAACAAATAAAAGGCCAAAATCTTTTCGAATCGAAAAGACATTTCAATCCTATTATCATTAATCGCATTTCGAAACGCGCTCGTAAACAGTCATTACTTCAGAATACTTAACGGTGTCTTTCATTTGTTTAATTTGTTCCGTATACTTTATGCATAATAAAGCATATTGTAATTTTTAAGTATTTTGTTTTTCTTAAGCAGAGCAAGACGTAAAAATTTTCAGATACATGCGTTTCGTTAAAATTAGTAGTAATATATGTATATAAAAAGAGATCATGCTGATTTTATTTGTGATAGGATTTATGTCTATATGTTATATTGTGTCAGCACGATTAATCTTTAGTTACTGCCATGGAAGCAATATTTGACACTCAACGTCCGTTTTATCTAATGCTGAATGTCCCCCGGAGAGTCATGTGCGATATCACGGATTTGTAAAACTCTTCGTATCATCTTGCTCGAATCTTTTCAAGTTTCTCGGCAAGTTGTAGTAGATATGTGGAAAAGACTGTGTCATCCAGAGAAGCAATTCTCTTCTTTTCTCTCTCTTTCTCTCTCTTTGACGCTGTACAATCATCAAATTTACCGTTTCTTTGTAATATTGTCGCAGAACGGACCGTAAGTCGACAGTCTGCGGGATGGGAGAAGAAGAGAGAGGAAATGTCAGAAAACGAGCGAGATCGAGGGGACACGCGAATGGACACGGTAGCTCCGTATGGCGTGCGATGGAATAGAGAGACCGGTTGTTAAAAGAGAGGAAGCAAGAGAGAGAGAGAGAGGTGGAAGCGAGAAGAGAGCGAGCGGGGAAGCGAGAAAGCGACGGCGGCGGCGGCGGCGGCGGCGACGGGAGGTAGAAAAAGGAACGCGCGGAACTCTAGAAGGAGCGCGAGGAGAGAGAAAGGGAAAG